CTCAGTAAAATCTCGAAATATGGGCATAAAGCGAAAGGGTTTTCATACTAAATTAATATGTTCGTGCTTTTAAGCGTTGCCACCATTTAAAAATTATATAGCTATGAACGGTCAGTGACTTATCAAGGACATTCGATATTGGTACCACACGACAGCTAGTTACATGGCCTTTGTATAAATGTATGCGAGTTTTCGAGAGTTGTCATCTAGTTAACAACTCTAAAACCATAATAACCAAAAAGTCATGGAGGAATCACAATCTAGAATATGAGATGAGTCTAATGGTACCTTTAAAAAAGCTATAGCATAATTTGTTCAATTTTCCTTTTTTGATGTCAAAAATTGTAAAATAACTTTTATTTTCAGTCTCTGCTTTCGACAGAAGCAGCATTTTGATACGAAACAAAATGATTTTGAAAACTAAAGTAAATCCTTTTCAATTGTGGATATTGAGCCACAATTACCCCTTAACCTTAAAAAAACTGGTCAAAAGTAGTGTTCTTCGAAAAAAACATGCAAAATCCACGAGATTTATTCCCAAACAAAAAATTCATGTATTTTTTGTTATACTAAAATTATAGAAATTGAGCAATCATAGCGCAATTACGCGGACGCAGATACGGTCAACAACTGCACAATTTGGTAAGTGCTCACGATGTTGCTGGAAAATCGCACTCACGTGCGTTCACAGGGCGGCTTAATTCTTTTATATATACAAAAATGTATACTATCGTCGAGATATTAAATAAAATTTTGTCGTCAATTTAGTGACAAATTTTATCACATTTTGTTGTAAGCCATATAACATTCTTGCAAAGTTGTTGCCAAATCTAACAAACGACGAAATTCTACTAAAAAATCCTACATAAACTTAGAAATAACTCAAAGTCGTTGTGGACATGGACTTTGTCGTCGGTAATGCAGTCAGCGTATTAATTCAAATAAGTTCTTATTCAATTCAAATTGGATTTCTATCTGAATTAATATGGTGAATGCTTTACTGATGAAAAGGTAAATGCCCATGATAGTCTGGCATGTTATCTGTATTCTACGTTCTCTGAGTTTTGGTCAGTGTTGTCATCGAAATTTCCCTTGATCCGAGTTAAATTTTGGGAATTAACTATAGAACTTAATCCGGATCAAATGCAGTTAATTCTCGAGATAATTCCGAATTAACGAGTTGATCCGGATCAACGCTGCCGTCTGGCGGAAATTTAATTCATGCCATTTTGATACCAGGTGGCGCCCATGATAGACCGCTATTCCGCTGTTAAATAGTTAATTTTACAGTATCGCGGTTTGTATGACGTAACCCTTGTTTACAATTTTTTTCAAAATTTTGTATACATTCTTACCACAAAATTGAAATTGCTTTCAGAAATAGCATTTATAAAGTACACTGAAAAAATATAATAATTGTTTACTCATTGAATTATTAGAGTAAAAAGTTAAATAACACACTAAGGCTGTTCAGGATCTTGTGCATATGATCTTGCATTTTTATTTTTGGGTGCATTTGTTAATTCACCACAGTAAAATGCAAACGGTTGCCATGTTAGCAAGCATACAATTTGCAAATGTAATTCCAAATGCAAATCGAAGACCATTTCTACAATATCCTGAACAGCCCTAATGTTTCAATTACAAAATATAGCTATTCGGACTTGTTTACACATATACCTATGTGGGAAATAATAGCAGTGTGACATTTTGACTAGGTTTGACTATTCTTTACATTGATAAATTTTTATTAAATTTATGTATTGGCCCTTATTTAAGTTTTTAGTAAGTTAAATTTTTAGTTTTCGAATCCATGAGCATTATATTATTGATATGATATGATGTGTGGTTGATAAAGTTGAGTATCTCGTAACAATGTGAATTCATATGCTCCTGGTATGGCACTTCTGCTCCTCATTAGAACTGTACATTTGCAAAGAAGGTGCTCTACTGTTTCTTGCTCGTTTTCATCCCTGCAGCTTCTACAGAAGTCGCTGTAGGCGATGCCCAGACTTATCGCTATAGCGAATACTTCTGCCTGGAAGACACTTGCAAAATCGGGCAGATAAAATTATCTTCTTAATCCCAGGCATTCAGATTAAATGCCTGCTCCACATTTGCGTTAAATTTTGGAGCCATCGCCGTACAGATGATGTATCCAGGCAAAGATATCAAGTTCTCCATCCCAGTCGGCCCTCGATGAAAAAAAGACCCGAAATGCCTGTAAAACTCTATTTCAGGCCGTATATAATCAATTGCCAGTCCTAGGTGGCAATAGATGCATGCAACCCCCTGAGATCTACCTAGTTTTAAATGATTATACTGGTTTTTATTTGAGGTTGTCAACCATACCAGGGTATTGTAGCATAAGGTCGGATGTTGTGTACCTCTAGAGTACCACTTTTGGATTAATACCCAAACAGTCGCTTGCAAGAGTAATAGGCAATGTTCGCTTTCTTTACTCTCTATTCAATATTTATTTTCCAACTTAGCTAAGGATCCAGTATGACTCCAAGATACTGCGATTATTTATATAATCGTAGGTTTTGTCTATCGTCCTAGCTCTGCTAGAGTTCCAACCATGTTGTTACTCACCACAGATGGAAATAACCCGGCTAATAAAATCATTACATCGTCAGCGTATTCACTACTTTTACTCCCCCTGGTTGAGCTTGAGTAGTACTGAATTGATGGTGGTAAGCCATCAATTGGAGAGATAACTCCACCTTGAGGAGTGGACTTACAGACGTTCTCTTTTAGTGTGTAGCCTCCAAGTTCAGCTAAAATCGTTCTGCTGCGAAGCATCGCCATAAGCCAAGCCCTTATAGACTCCTCGACGCCAAGCTCGTCCAGAAATTTTTGGATAGCTTCTACCCGAACATTGTTCTAAGCCCAGGAAGACTGCAAGGGTGTACTGCTTAAAGTCGAATAACTTCTCGACTGTTCCTCATGATGCGCCATCTCGTTGGATCGTCTTCCTAAATATGCATGTTGTGCCTTAGATATAAGTACAATAGGCATGGAAAATCCCTCGGACGTGCGCATCTGGAACTGCCTTGAAAGTTTTGAGAACAAAGGAAGTAAAGCATCCTTTGGAAATTGATCATGGCGAAATAGCGTCCTCCACGATGTGCAGCTTGATAGAGTGATATGTGTTGGCCTTGTGAAAATTGATTCTGGTATGTGCTGAGCTCAAGCATACCCTCCTCTTCACAATTATACCCACCAGGTGGAGATGGAGCCGAGTTATTTAGTCTGTTCCAATAGCAGTCCGGTTTACAGGATTTAGTCAGAACTTACAGGAAGTCGTTCCTATTGACATAAAACCTGTCAGTAGGAACACTTTTGAGAGAGTAACTAAGCAACTGATCCTAGTCAGAAGTTACAGGATTTAGTCTGGAGTCTTTTTTTCCTGTGAGTTCATGAAAAGTGTCAAATGATCAGCTGATTTGCATGTGCAAACAAAAACAGAAATCAGTGTAAGTAAATAACCTTATATTTGTACAAAAATGAAAGTAAACAACGAAATATTTGAATATGTATAGATTTAAAAAACACAGGTCCACAAAAAAAAATCGATGAAAGGTTCCTTAACATATCACAGACTAGGTTTAGTCAAAGGAACCTTTCATCGATTTTTTTGTGGACCTGTGTAATTAGTTAGTGATATTTCAGGCAAATCAGTGTTGTACAAATGACATGTAAGCAAACTGACTGACGTTTTTACAGGAAATAGCGCTTTTTGCGTTCCCGTGCACTTCTGCATCTGTTCTCCTTTTACTCTCACTTGAGAGAGTAAAATTGTAGTTTGACAGTTCCACAGGTTTTTGTCCGAAGTTCAAAGGAATAGCCAAATTAAATACTAAAAATGTTATTATGATGCGATTTGGCTCAAATTCGGGATATGTAAGGGCAATACTTTTGCAAAAACGTCATGTGAGGAAAAGCGTCATTAAGAATTTTGGGGCATAAGAAATTTTTTTTAACGCTGGTTTTTAATTTACTCGACCAGGTCTGCTATTTACATGCACGTGTTGGTAATATTTTCTTTGTTACACCATGTAAATATTGCTATCGTTTGAATACTGAGTCGGCAATCGCAGTTAAAACTTTAAGTTTTAGGCGAAGCATTAAAAACAAAATACTGGATGATGCTTTCTTCGCGTTTTTTATGTACGTATGTACAATAACTATTTACGTACGTATTTAATACGATCGGAATATGTACTTAGTATTACAACATCTCTATTATTGCAGCCATTACCAATAAATCACGATATTGCAAGCGCATCCACATTGCACGCACGGTAGTGGACACATTGTTGGCTGACACATTGCATGGCCATAAATATAACATTGGATGTCACGACAGCCGGCAGTCGTAAGAAGCAACAAGTTTAGCTCTACTTGCTATTCGACTTGTAGGTTATGTACATATGTATGTATGTAAAAACATCAGGTGCCATGATGTGTGTTAGAGAAACTGAAAATGGCGTCTTCAGGTGGCACGCAACACTGTCACATTGACTAACTGACTAAGTTGAGCTTTTGCAACGCTGCGAATGCATTGACGGAACATTTTGCCATTTATGTACAACAAACAATTAGAATTCTCGACGGAAATGGGAACTGTCAATATACTGGTACTCGAACGATGGCAAAAGACTTCGTGTCAGAATAGCTTATTGGAATGCTGGGCTGATGGTGAGCCACGGCAAAATAGTACTAAATATAATAATTTAAATGGGAGCAGGCGGTGCACGCACAGAGTACCAAGAATGATTCTTTAATTGAAACATGCGGTTTAATTAGAATTCTCTATGGATCGTAACAATTTTTTTTATTCAGAAGTGAACAAAACATGGTCGCTGGTACAGAAGTCCTTTCTAGGACACTGCATGTATATTGTACGAGTATGTATGTAAGTATCAAGTGCCGTTGCCTGGCGTTTAAAGAGTTTAAGTAACACTGTTTTGCGAAATAAAATAAACAAACAAAAGTAACATTGGTATAGCATAAATGCACTTATTTTTATTAGCCATTTTTGGAGCAACGGAAAGTAATTACCAAACTGATACTGTCAGTCGACTTCGTATTGCTTCACTTCATGATTTATGGATGTTTAGCTTGCCCAGTGAGACATGACGCTTGGCATGTGCTGAGCACACTCCTGAGTATTTCGCAAAAAAAAAATTACTTTCAGTTTCGCAAAAAATCACTTTTGATGACTTCATTTGCGAAAGCGACACTAGCGTCCACTCGTCTAAAGAAGGGTGTCGATGGACGAATCGCTCATCGACGGAAGTGTTATAAATAACTTCTAGCGAAAATATTTCCTAAAAAACGAGTATTGTTGTATTGTTGAAGACAAACTGTATATTCATTACATTACATTAATAGACTGTTTTCGATGGCTGTCTTTTACCGCCCCGTTTTGTTAAGCCGCTATAACGCTGTGTAGCCATCACGTGTCTGCTTCCACCCGCGGCAAGAGTAGGCAGTATTGGGAAGGATGCTCCTAAAAAATCACTTCCGTTTGCTGTGACGCAAGTTTGCTCTCAGTTTACCCTGCTTAATGTGTTTTGCCAGTTTGGCTAACGTTGTCACTTTGACTGTACCGCCTGCTGCTCGTTCCTCATACTAAATGGTCTACACATCCGGCCAATCGTGGTGACCAAGTATGTATGCATGCATGTATTTGTATGAGCATATTATATTTGTATGTATGTATACATAGTATATGTACATATGTATAAGGAATGAAATATGCGATCATCGCCTGTGAGAGGCGGCATCCATAATGGGTGTTAGGGCGCTGGTTATGGAACATATTTATTTATTATATCAGATTATTATGTCAATGCTGTGCTTGAAGACATATACATATATGTATATTTCATACAAACATATTTATACGTGTACATTAGATGTCTTATTTTCTCCATACATTTTGCTAAGGTATTTCAGATCCTCCCTCCGGCAGCAGAATATGAAAATATGTAGGACGCTAGGAACTTTACAAATTGAAAAAAAAAAAAAATTTACTATTTCAAAAACTGGATGAGCTACTCCGAGATCCGTGATTTATAAGACTTTTTTGCTGTAGGTTTAGTTCCATATATCAAAAAACATTCATCTTGCATAAGAAAAAAAAAAAAAAAATATCCAACCTCATGAAGTATAAGTCGCTAAAGCGAATGGCATACTCAGTTTTTTAGTACAAGTAACCAGAAAGTTACCCACGCGGCCTAAAGTGACTATATGGTATTATTTTTCACGAATTTTCAAATTATCATTTTATTAAGTTTTTAGCATGCTATTTTCATATTCTGCTGCCGGAGGGAGGATCAGAAATACTTTAGCTAAATAAAGCATCTAGTGTACAGACAAGCACACATAGTTAGATGTACAAATGTTTCTAACCAAAAAATTTGCGATTTTTCCACCGGAATTATAAAATCTATTTTAATATTTTCGTCAAAAAATATTTAAGAAAAATAGTAATATACGTGATAAAGATCTCAAAAATCGAATTTGCTATAAACAAAATTATGGCCTTATTCATAAAAAATAAAGTAGGTTTAAAGATCTTTATAAAATGACGTTTTCATAAATTGTTCAGTTTATAAACCTGTTTTAAACAGAGTACGAAAATAAACTGTACAAAACAATTCCCATTTGCTCATCGATCATCATATCATTTGTGGTTTTGTACAGTTTTGTACATAGTCAGAAACAAACTGTAAGATTCACTGTCATTTTCCCCAACGAGAAACGTTTGCTTTTCGTTTGTGACAATTGTACCATAGGGTGATATCACAAACGTTTCAATTACGTGAAAAATAATTTTTTCTGTAAATTTTCATATCCAATTCAATTAAAAAACATTTTTATTTTTTATTCATTGCAGCCATTCGTTTTGTGTTTAGTTATTGCATAAGTGTACATACATCCATATATTTTTCTCTGCACGATTCATTTCGTTTGTTGTTTCGTCTGTAACTACTAAACTACTGTAGTGTACTATCACCAAAGTGAACTCAGCCGTTTTGTTTTCGTATTGCACTGAACTGTTGAAGTAATAAACGAAACGAAATAGTAACGTACAATATAGTTTATTTTCGTACCCTGGTTTTAAAGCTATTTTATTTTTTATGAATGAGGCCATTAGTTGTTAAAGATACTTTTCTGAAAAATATCCTCATAAGTGGGCGGTGTCACGCCCATTTTCAAAAAAAAAAAATTGTTATAATCGTATTTCTTGCTAAACATATGTTCCAAACATCAATTTTGAATAAATCGAAGATTTCGAATTTCTCTAAATTGCTGTTGTATGGGATGTGGGCGTCGTTATTTCCGATTTTAAAAATTACTATGCCAAGATTAGGAGAAATTGGTGAATATTGCTTGCCGAGATATACACATTTAACCATAAGTGGGCGGGCCCATTTTTCAAAAACATATAATATTCATATTTGCGTCTAAAACTCATTGTAAATATCAATTTTGAGTGAATAAGCTTGAATATTTACTAAAATATTGAAAATTACCGTTATATGGTAGGTATGCGTAGTTATTGTCCGATTTTATACAAAGTTTCGTTAAGATATCTTAATTCTTACTCGATTTATCGTGCGCACAGACGGACGGACGGACAGTCTGTCGCGGCTCAATCGAACGCCTAAAAATATTCAAAAATCCAGTTGAAACTGGTATAGAAACCCCTAATCAATCACCCTGCTAACTAGTACTGTATACGCAAAAAAAAACGCAACCGGCATTGAGCTGATATAAAAATTTAGGAGTAGCGTTAGTTACATATATCATAATCCAATGATCGCAACTAAATAAACGAAATTAGTATGGAACCATGCTTGAGGTACTACCTTTGTTCTTATGGTTTTTCAAAATCTTCTCCATAAAAGTGTTTCCAATATGAATGGGATAATTTCTTTCTTTGTGCCAAAAATTAATTTTACCTTTTGTTTTTGTTTTGCTTGGTTTTTCTTCTTATTTGACACTATAACCACTTATTCGTTTGGGTCCAGACCTAAAACTTCGCCTATTGCCTCTCTCCATGCTTCGGTCATATCAACTATTTGTAGGTCCTTTCGCCTTTTGGTACTTCCATTGTGTACCAAGGCGTCCTAGCTGTTGTTGACCATCATGGATGCCGAATAGAAGTATATTTCAACCAGAGCGTCATCATCCATATCTACGACATACCTAAGCCAGCGATTAACTACATATCGCACACCTAAATCTAAAGCAAGCTATCTGAAAATTCAGAGAGGGAAATATAACTGCTTGCTAATATTATGATAAAAAAAAATATTTGCATTAATTGGATGTACATATGTAAGTCCTATGAATTGATTAATGCAAAAGAAACGCGCAACATTTTTTTTTGGAGTTGATCGCACTTTACATAGATATATGTGTCGTAAAAAGAGCTCTACAGCTCGTCATTTCATCTTTTTCGGTACGCGTTTCTCATGAAAACAAGGTCATAGGTCTTAGGTTAGGTTAGGCGGCAGCTCGGTGTAACCGGAGCTCACTTAGACAAATGGAGATTGTCCTTTGTGGTATCAAAGTTATGAGTTCGGCTAATCTCAATGCCCCAGAACTCCTTGGGGCTATAAAGGATGTGAGAGTCAAAGTACTTCAACCTTAGCCTCGCAAACGCCAGATACCTTAGAAGGTAGTGTTGAGGTGATTCCAAATCGTCATCTTCCAGACAACTGCGACATACGGGGTCGGTAGTATGTTCAGCCTTATTGCGTGAATACCGATTGGACAGTGACCCGTTAAAACCGCCACCAGTAGTGACAGCTGTGGCTTTGTGAATGTGAGGAGTTCCCTCTACTGCCGAAGGTGCCGTTATAATACAGCCGGTCTGGTAAGCCCTCTGGATGCAAACCCTCTAATGGGCACGGTGTCGCTTATCACCCTGGATTAGGGGGTCAGTAGTTCTTGGTCGCCGCCCCGACGATAGGGTGCCTGTTATTGCGGAGGCCATAGGTCTTGATTGGAGCAGTTCTCCCGAAAGCCCACAAAACTTAATTTTGTTTGTCGAGAGAGCAAACTGTTTTTCAATTGACTACCGAGCACATAGGAGCACCTGTTTGTTATTATTCCTCTGATCTCCTGGCTTATATTATTAGTGGTATTAATGCTGGATCCAAGCGGACAAATTCCCTCACAACTTCAAAATTATAATTGTGTTAGGTGTGACCTAATACGCGAAAACTTTTAGCTTGTCGGCAGTAAGTAGTGTGACTTATTTCCCTTACAACCCTTTCATTGAGACTGAAGATATCAATGACATCTGCATAGGTACGGTGACCATCCGTTCTGTTTTTTGCAGGACCGTACTGTTTTTCAAAGGTTGGTCCTGCGTAGTTTTTCAAACCTAAAAAACCAGAAAATGTACAGATTTTTTCCAAGTGTCCTGCATTTGTTCCGCATTTTATTCGTTATTTTAAAATTATCGGACAATGGATGGATTTTTTTAAAAAAGTGTTTTTTGGTACTTTTCGTAGCTTTTCTTCAATATATCATGAAAAAATCTCCCAATCAACGTAAGCGACTTACAGCTCGAAGGGTACTGATGGGCCTCTTACCAAAATATATAACTTGTGGCGACTTCAATGAAAATTATTAGTGCTACAGGCGACCATTTGCATTTTGTCGTCAAAGTCGAAAAAAGTGAGAGTTTCAATCAAATACGCAGTTTTATTTGATTATTTTTTTCATTAGTTTAAAAATTCGATAAATAATATATATCATTACAGTAAATTTTTAGCCAAAGATAATGAAAATCGAATTAGAAATGTAGATGCTATGAAGCGCAATCTGCACAAATTATATATTTTTGTAAAGGGCACATAAATACCTTTGTAACTCGTTGTTTACGTCGACTCATGAGGTCGATTTTAGACAAATAACTGCAAAAATTGCCAAAAAACAAAAAACAAAAAAAAGGGTATTGTTTTCGTTTTGAATGACTCAAAATTTGCCTATAAAATAATCTTTTAAAGATTTTCACTTTTCGTGTAAGCTATTGTTAACCGACTTCCAAAAAAGGAGGAGATTATCAGTTCGTCGGAATATTTTTTTTTTTTTTATGTATGTTACCGCATAACTTTGCACCACGTCAACAGATTTCAATATTTTTTTTTGCAACGGAAAGGTAGTGTGTCAGAGGTGGTCCCATACTAAATTGGTTTAGATCCGATCATTGGATCATGAAATATATAGACATATATATATTTTTTTACGTCGGTTTTTTTTTGCTAAAAGTTACTTGTAATTATAATGTGTTTTACTATACTTTTATAAATATTCATGTAAAACAAGATTAATATCTATGAAGAAAACGTGATTCATTTTTAAAGTTTAAAATGTATTAAGAATTTAGAATCATAAATACTCTTTTGATATTTTTATACTACGTAAATATATGTAGGCATATTTTTGAAAAATTGTCCTTCATTTTGAATCCATATTTATGGTCACCGTATGCATAGGCCAGCAGGGTTGTGCCTTTCCAGAGAATATATGGTGCCGCTGCGATTCAGATTTGGGGCACGTAATACGCTTGATGTCAAATCGACACAAAGATGGTGCCCGTCGTTTTGCTTA